TGAGCAGTTGGCCCGTTCCCAGGGTCCACAGGGCCGGGGCAGGCACCAGCCGCACTGCAGGACCCCAGGCTGCCGGGAGGCTGGGCATGACATCCCGTGCACAGTAACCTCTCACTGACTGTGCAGTGCCCCAGCTGGGCTGCAGCCAGGCCGGCCGCAGCTTCTGAGCAGCTGGCTGGAGCACCGTGCTCGCAGGGTACTAATCAATGGTGCGATGTCTAGCTGGCAGCCGGTCTCACGTGGAGTGCCCCAGGGGTCGGTCCTGGGGCTCGTTTTGTTCAATTTCTTCATGAACCACCTGGAAGATGGGATGTGGTGCACCCGCAGCAAGTTTGCAGATGACACAAGCTGGGGGGAGTAGTAGATAACCTGGAGGGCAGGGCTAGGATTCAGAGTGACTAAGACAACTTGGGGGACTGGGCCAAAAGAAATCTCATGAGGTTCAATAAGGACAAGTGCAAAGTCCTGCACTTAAGAGGGAGCGATCCCCTGCACTGGTGCAGGCTGGGGGTGATGGGCTGGGCAGCAGCTCTGCAGACAAGGCCCGGGGGGGACAGGGGACAAGACGCTGAACAGGAGCCGGCAGTGTGCCCGTGGTGCCAAGAAGGTGACCGGCATCCCGGGCTGCATGGGTAGGAGCGTTGGCAGCAGATGGAGGGTAGTGATTCTTCCTTTTTATTCAGCACTGGGGAGGCCACGTCTGGAGTCCTGTGTCCAGCTGTGGGCCCCCCACTGCAGAAAGGCTGTGGACACATGGTAGAGAGTCCAGTGGAGGGCAAGGAAAATGGTTGTGGGCTGGGGCACAGGACTGGTGAGGAGAGGCTGAGGGGATTGGGCTGATTGAGTCTGGAGAAGAGCAGACCGAGGGGGATTGAATAGCAGCCTTCACCTCCCTGCCGGGGGGCTGCAAAGAGGATGGAGCTGGGCTGCTCTCAGTGGGAGCAGATGACAGAAGGAGCAATGGGCTCAGGCTGCAGCCGGGGAAGCTGAGGTTGGATATTAGGAAAAACTCTCTCACTAGGAGGGTATAAAGCATTGGGACAGGCTCCCCAGAGAGGTGGTGGACTCTGCGTCCTTGCAGGTTTTGAAGACCCAGCTGGACAAAGTATTGGCTGGGATGATGTAGTTGAGGCTGGTCCTGCTTTGAGCAGGCGGTTGGACTAGATGCGACTTCTTGAGGTCTCTTCCAACCTGAATTTTCTGTGATTTTGTGACTTTAACACCCCCCGGGCCCTGGCTGGGGGCTCCACGCAGCCAGACTCCACCCTGGGCAGGGCCAGTGTGGCTGGGGCTGCTCCCAGCCTGGGCTGAAGGGAGTGACCTGTGGCAGCCTCGGGGGAGACAGGCAGCTCCCCCCAGCCCTGACCCAGCTGGATGCATCCTCTGGCGGCACAGACAGGCGCTCTGTGGGCCCAGCGGGGCAGGCCTCGCAGTGGACACGTGCAGCTCCATGCACGCCTCCCCACCTGACCGCCAGGCCCGTCCCCAGCCCAGCTCCACCCGTACCAGGAGGACCTTGTGCTGCCAACCCTGAGGCTGGGATGGAGAGGCGGGGCAAGCCCCTGCCGAGGGTGGTCCCGCTCGGGGCTCGGCACCAGCCCAGCGCCCTCGCTGTGCTCCCGCTGTCTCCTGGAGTTCACCCAAGAATTGACTGAGGCCACATGTGCATGTGACACGGTCGTCAAGGGCGACGTTAATTATCCAGACCTCTCCTCGGAGGAACACTCGGCCAAGCTGAGTCGGTCACGCTCGTCGCGGAGCTCATCCCAACGCGGGAGGTGCGCGGGCCAAACAGAGGCGACGCTCTGCTGCACTTGGTCCTGGCCAAAGGAGACGGCCTGGTGACCAACCTAAATAGAGAGGGAAGCCTGGGCGACAGCGACCACGAAACCATCATGTTCGCTGTCCAGCATAAGGCAGACAGATCTGATAGCAGGAGTGACGTCTTGGACTTCTCAATGCAAATTTCAACAAGCTCAGGTCACTCGTAGGGCAAGTGCTGCGGGGCCAGGGACTGCAGGAGAAAGGTGTGCGTGAAGAGTGGTCGTTCCTTAAGGACACGATCCTTGAAGCACAAAGGAAGTCTATTCCCATGCAGAGAAAAGGTAACAGAAGGGCTGGGAAGCCCTCTTGGCTAAACAGGAAAATCACGGTCCTCTTGAGAAAGACGAAAGAGGCTTAGGAGCAGTGGAAGCGCGGGGCGGGCCCCAGCAGGACTGCTCCCCCATGGCCCGCATTTGCAGGGAACAGATAAGACAGGCTAAAGCGGCGCCCAGACTTAGATTAGCAACGGGAACCAAGGGCAAGAAGCAGTCCTTGTTTGGGTGCGAAGGGAACAGGAGGAAACAACCGATGCTTGTTGTGCTCTGCTCTGCTCTGCTCCGCGCTGCTGCGAGCGGTCTGGGCACCGCGCTGCAGCAAGGACGTGGGCAAGCCGGAGGAGAGCCACGCGTGTGAGCGGCCTGGCACGGCACGCGAGGGCAGGCGGAGGGACCCGGGACTCTGCAGCCTGAGAAGGCGGTGGCTGGGAGGGGCCCTGGGAGCCGCGTGCCGCCGCCAGCCCGCGGGGCGCAGCGCAGCGCAGCGCAGCGAGCGC